GGCTCTCTTCTCGCAGAAGACGATGCAGTTTGTTCGCGCTCCCGACGAGAACGTCTTCATCGCTCCTTTCAACCTCATTGAGATGTTCTTCTTGATCCTTCCATTCGAGTGGTGGATGGATGAGAAGCGCTACGACAAGCTCAACGATATGGTATGTGAATCTCACTCGCACAGGCCCTCCCGCTGTTTATATGATGATTTCTATGTATTTGCTACTTCAGAGCTTCGGCTATGAGACAATTATCACCTAGTACTGATCACAGCACCTTCCACATCGCATTTTCAAGTCGCTCTACATCCGCAGAAAGCTGACACCACACAGGTCATGGCAGTAATCTACTCACCCCTCCTCGTCATCACCGCCATGTTCGAACAACAAGAAGCCTGGGTCGTCCGAGACAACCGCCGCCGCGGCGAAGACGACGAAGACACAACCATGGAGTGGGAACAAGTCCTTGATGGCTGTGACTTTGAAGCCGACGGCTGGGAGAAGAAGGTCCAGGCTTCGCGTCCCAATGTCGAGTTCGACACTGCGGTGTTGGAAGTCAGGCAGCTGAGGAAAGAAGTCAGCGAACTCAAGGACATGATGAAGATGCTTATCGAGGGCAAGAAGGAAGGTTGGGGCGGAGACACACTCGGCGAGAGTGGGCTGGCGAAGCTGGACGCAAGCAAATTGGGTATGCAAGGCGAGAGCAGCGAAAACGGGGGTGGAAGGGATGAGTAAGTGCGATTTGCTTTGTGTCTCGCTGTCACCAGTGCTCTTTCTGTTGCCGCTGTTTCCATTTTGTTCGAGTGCTGGTGTGTTGACTTTTTGGTTGTGTAGGCGCTATAGGAGCGAGTTTGGAGAGAGCCAGGCGAGTGATTGGCACTCTGATTGAGAGTGTAACGTCGCTCTTCTGCTCCTCTTCTTCTTGTTCGAGTACATATTACGGAATGTTACGCGATACGATACGATACGATGAACGACATACGACACTGTGCGACGCGATGCGATACTTTGGTTATATACCCCTCCTTTACAACAAAATGCCATGTCTACTTTATGCACGAATATACTCATTCCTCAATGTTCTTGGATCGTCTTACTACACGCTGTTGAGAAATGATCATTTGCTTGTTGTCTTCTGAAATGAAGTTGCTGGCTTGTGCCATTGTCGGTGCTGACAGGACGCGTGGCTCCACCAATCAGCAACGCCTCGGCATCTCCCCCCTTTCGATCTAGCCCACACATGTGTTATCTGCTACGTAGGTACCCGCTTTCCCGGTTCCAGGTTCTCTCCTGCTCCTTTAAGGGACGCTTGGTGGTTCATTATGCCGTTCCGCCCGGTGCGGTTGCACTGCCACAAGGCTTATGTACCTGTCAAGGGGGTCTGGACGGGCCCGAGCCACAGGGTCCCTTTAAGTACCGTGGGAGCTCGCTGTTTCTGTTTGGGGACTTGACACGATAGCGACTTTGTGGGATTATTTGATTTGACCGAACGACAGGTGTGGACTGAGGTCTTTGCTTTAATTGCGAGCAGACGCAAGAGGTGGACATAAGAGTACAAGGATGCGCATCGCCCTCGTTGACGGTTCCTCATTTACGCCTTTCTTGTCTCCTTTCTCTTTATCTCCTTGATCAACCCGGTGGACTCCAGGAAGAGAACCCCTCCAGCAACATCCTCAGCACCCCCAATCCCCCGCCAAAATGTCAACAACCTACCTAACCCCCCTCACAACAAACACGCCAACCAAACGCTCCGCCTCCGCGCCCCCGCCAAGCCGCACACTCTACACCTTCCAAGAAGTCCACCCTTGGCAACGCGACAACGAGTACCTCAAGAACCATTATCGTTGCACCACCAATTCCTACCGCGAATGTCTGAAGAGCTTGTCGTATCTGCACAACCAGACTGGGAATATCTACACGCATCTCATCGGCGCTGTATTCATCCTCTTTTATGCCATCTACGCCTACAGCAATATTAGCAGCCGTTACGAAACTGCTGATATAAACGATTTACTTGCGTTTGGGGTTTTCGTGGGGAGTGCCGTGGTGTGTTTTGGCGTTAGTGCTACGTTTCACATGTTTGGGAATCACAGCAGTAAAGTGTATCATACATGGTTGCAGTTGGACCTTTACGGCATCTTCGTGTTGATCGTAGGCACGGTGTATTCTGGGACGTATTATGGGTTTTATTGTCAGAAACAATACTGGGTGTTGTATTCGGCTGGGATTACTTCGATCGTCACGGGTGCAGCGACGCTTTGTTCGATTCCTCGGTTCCGCACGCCGAAATGGAGGTGGGCGAGGGCGACGCTGTTTTGTGCGATTGGCTGGTCGGGTGCGGTGCCGATGACGCATGCGGCTCAGGCGTTTGGCAAGGAGCAGGCGGATAGGCAGATGGGGTGGCGGTTGATGATTTTTGAGGGGCTGTTTTATATTACGGGGGCTTTTATCTATGCGGTATGTCTTTCGGGAATACATTCGGGTAGAGTGAACATTACTGACATTTTGCACAGATCCGCTTCCCGGAGAGATTTCGGCCGGGACTTTTCGATATCTGGGGTTGCTCGCATCAGATCTTTCATCTTTGTGCTGTTGGGGGTGCGGCGCTGCATTTGGTGGCGCTGTTGAAGGCGTTTGATTATAATCATGACCCGGCGACGCGGATATGCTGAGGGTAGCCCCTTTGGAGCTATCGAGCAAACGACTACTTTACCCTTGCACACTGCATGTTCAAGACTCCATCTTCTCATCCATTCCCCATGCTCGATCTGAATAACGACTTCTGTCGCCCTCTCAGCTTGTCTGTCGCTCAGGGTCTCTAAGCTACCCATTGTCAGCCCACGTGCACTGATTTCAAGACCCAGGGGCCAGCAGAGTTCATCGACCCCGCCCTTGACCCCACCGGCGGAGACATTCCTGGAAGATCGAGCATCGTCTCAACACCCTCGTTCACCTCCAGCGAGGTGACGATATGTCCGCGGAGAACAAGACCACCGTCATCGTAGGCGCGGGATCCATTGGTCTGTGGACTGCCTATCACCTCGCGCACGCAAATCGTCAAGCCGGTCTCTCGAGCAGCAATACCGTCATCGTCATAGAAGCATCAGCGAGCGCATTCGGAGAGACATCCAAGACCTGTACAGGATGCATTCACTACAAATTCAACGATGAGATCATGGACGAATTTGGGAAGTACAACTTTGCAGCCTGGCGTGATTTGGCAGAGAGCAACGACCTCTGTGATACTGCTGGACTCCGCTTCAATTCCATTTTCGGGTTGACCAAGAATGATGGGGTTAATCAAAAGCTTTTGCCGGATTGGCTTCGAACGAGCGCTGAGTGGGGGGTGGACACCAAGTTCTTGGGGGCGGACAACGCAATGATGTAAGCATGTTTTACATGCATCAACTTTCTATGCTGATCAAGTTCGTTGCAGCAACCCAGTATGCCTCGGCAAATGGCTTGAAAGAGCATGTATTGAAATGAATGTTCGCATTGAGACCTCTACAAGAGTCACTGTCGTCGAGTTAGACGAAGAAAATCGAGCCACTGCAGTAACCGTCATTCGAGAAGACTCATCCAAAGTCAAAATTCAATGCGACAACTTCGTTCTAGCCGGGGGCCCATGGACGCCGGTGGTCTACAAAACGCTCTTCCCCTCGTCCCCAATCCAGATCGACGCAGCAACAGAGGCAGGCGACTGGATCATCTTCCGAAATCAGAATCCTGTCGCGAAGAACTTGGTGGCTTTCGTGGGCCTGAATGACATAGTTGGAGAGAAGTTGGAGTTCGCAGGTCGCAACGACGGCACGATCTGGGTTTGCGGAGCAAAAGATCACAAGGGCACGCTACCTCCATTAGGCTCGAGAGGTCCACCAGATGCGGCAGGAATTGCGGAGCTCACAGGTCGAGCCTATCGTTTTCTTCGCGTTCACAACGCGGATGATTCGGACACGTTCGAGAAGTTGGAGGTCGTTGCGCTTGGAAGGGCATTTCGACCCGTTACGCTTTCGGGGCGCCCGATGATGGCTATGGTCGAGTCTGACAAACTCTCGCATCATAATGGCCTTTATCCAGAGGGCAGAGTTGGTAATGTATTTTTGTGCTGGGGGCATGGGTCTTGGGGGCTGACACTTGGACCGGGCACAGGGAAGTTGATGAGTCAATTGATCCTGGGTGAACCGACTGATCTTGATCTTTCGCCATTTCGGATTCCAGAGACTACGTAAAATACGATTTGCATAAACATATCCCACGTCATTGGTCCCAATAGATCATCCAAGAGCGATAAGCCTCTTCCGTGCCGGTTGTGCGATGCTCGCTGTACTCGTGCGGCACGATGTGTTGGTAACATCGCAGACATGGCATCTTGGGCAGACGATTGGGCGCATTCCATGTTTCAAGTAAAAGTATTACAAAGTAGGGTTTCTGTGCCACGGTATAGCCCCAAGTCGTAGCCCCATTTTCCGCCGAACTTGGCTGACATCTCCATCTTCTCCGAGTTTTGATAGATCTTGACAGCATGATGACCTGGGTGCCTGTAGGTATTCGGCCCCTATATGGCGGCACGTACAGCATCCTTTACTTCAAAGTGCTTCGCCCTTCGCTTTTCGCCCCTTGCTAGCTTGCTGCTTCCTACAAAATGAGACATGCAGACATGGTGGGATGTTGCCAAGTCATTCCGCTTCTACCATCTCGCTAGAATCTGCAGACTGTGTGGCTAAACAGATTTCTCACGATCGTGCCCATACTTGTTGTTTTATATGCAGCTGCATGCAGCACATACAATGTCTCATTGGAATCCGCCAGCATTGCGATCATGCGCTGTGTTTTTGGACCACGCTGTGCACCCATCTCTGCACTGGCACGTTCATCAAATCGATGTATCTTATATATGCCGAAACGTCTGAGTGTGTGTAATCGATTGCACAGTTCATTGAAGTCTACCCCAATCCAAGGGGGAGCGGAATGGCAAGAAGGCCTGCAGCGGCTCTTACAGCGGTGCCTAATCTCACGATTGCAACCCTTCACTGAACTTCAATGCTCGCCATGCTAGCTCAGCTGCGCCTCTTGCAGCTTTGAAGCTAGGGTTCTCTTCTAACATCTCAGCTTTTGCGCCTAGCGCCTCGATGACACGTTTCGTAACCCTCCGAGCTTTCCCATCGCTGAGACTTTCGGGACTACCCGTCATCATCACAGTAATTGAGTCGGGAGGATGAGGCGTCGGGTAGTAATACTGGTGATACAAGAAACTTAGGACAAAATCTTGTATGTCCAGTTCGTCGGGCTCACCACCACTGCCCAAGTCGAATGAGGTTGCAAGATCCATATATAGGTACGATGTCTCGATGGGTTCGCGAAGGATGTTATGGTGTAGAAGAAGCGCGGACTCAGTGTGTTCGACCAGTAGCGTATGGCGAGACGTGAAATTCTTCCCCTCTTCACGGCATTTCTCTTCGTTGTGGTAGTCTTTACAGAGACCTAGACCGTTTCCTGCGTATGCGGCGACGTCCTCGTGCGGATGTGTTGCCTCTAGCCACGGACCCAACTTCGCGAGGCCGACATAGTCCGCTGCGTCCCTGATGTCTTCCTGATAGAGGCCTGGCAGTGCGGGAAAGCTAATTAGGGCCGAAATTGGTGAGTCTACATACGTCTTGACTACCTCAACGATCTCTTCGAGGACCTTCGCGATGACTGCTACTTCTGGTGACGCTGGGAGACCCTTTTCTTTCCGCGCGGTTCGCTTCTCTTGTCGGGGCCAGTCATCGAATAGGTCCTTAAGAGAATGATACGGGGGGCTGGTGAAACTATGAGTGTCTGCTCAAAGAGGTGTTTATGGTGTTCGTCGTACCTTGGGTGTTCAGACGACGGATCAGAGAAGTTTCGCATGAGTTCAACATACTCTTCGCATGCATTCAACTCTACTATATCTTCCGTCAAGAGATCGCTGTAACGAACAGAGACAACAGCGCGGTCTACAGTCAGGGCGAAGCCGACCGTCACTGAATTCGATGCTGTCCTGTCGGGAGATATTACAGTCTGCATGCAGACAGCGATGATCGAGAACAAGACGGGTGCGATGATCAGATGCATCTTCTCTGTGGGATGGTTTCTGTTGCACTTCAAGGGTGACAGCGATGACCGGGTATTAAGGAAGATCTTCTTGCAACGCAGATGCGCCTATGTGGCGCTGTGCTGCCGGATGAGCGCGATATTTGAATAGCGGGGGCGGGCTTATGTTGCGCTGCACGCTCTATCATCGGGGACCCATGGACGGCTGGCAGCTTGGTGATGCAGAGTGTGAGCTGCGCACCGATCTTGTCTTGATCTCTCGATCGCTTTTCGTTTTGCGGCGCGGAACACACCACAGTTGTGTGGGTGCACTGAGACACATTCAGAGCGCGGTTGTGGCGTGGCGGCTGCCTAGAGCTTCCCGCCCCAATGCGAAACCTACCCAGGTACCTGCATCATGATTAGCAGTTGACACCTTGTTTTCGATAGACCCCAGCATTTTTAGAGAATCCTGTACTGACGGCGACCCTTTGAAGGTTGGTACTGTTCCACGGCCACGTACGTCAGTTATCCCGTGGCGTGAACCCAATCCCAGCACCGGATACTCTCACTCTTAGGGGCCCATCCTTCACGACACACCTGGGCAGTCACTTCAGAGAGACCCCGAGAAATAAATGACAGACGCGGTATGTGACATAACGATGAATATACCCATTGGTTCAACGGGCACCCGTATCTACGCGTAATCACGAATCTTTTTGTCCGCGCAGTATCGTGAACGACCACAAGGATTACCCCCAGCATGCTAGTCGCTATGCGGCACTGTAGATATGTTGTAAGACGGAGAGGCTTATGAGTGTGAACCACACCCATGATGACGAATGTGCTGACGCGAAAACCTTCCAGTAGCTCGAGTCTGACCTGCCCCAGATTGAGGCAATTCTCACACAGAACCTGGTGCTTCCTTTTGCACCCCGGCACAGTGAACTACGTCCAGACGACGAAGCGATGAGGATGTACTGGCCCCCCATACGCCACTCTCATACATACCAGCCTGGGGGTCACAAGTTGCTACCTGGTCGGTGACGCTGTGTCCAAATTATGACTAATGCAGTATTATCGCTACATGATGGCTTTTGTGAACGGAGGAGAAATAGCCTTGAGTAAGCATATACGACAGCACTCTTTAGCAAAGTAAACGAATTCACGTTACGAGCGATAGGTTGGGAGGGCAGTTCACTCGACAAAACTCCACTGACGCAATCATATAAGACGCAAGCAGAAGATAATCTGTTTGAAAACTTCTGCACGCCTGATGCCCGCATATCAGGTCGTTTCATTTAACGCGTTCAGACTGTACAACCCGACATACCTCATTGCGCGGCGTGGCGATGTCAGTCTTTGTCAGATGATGCATCACTCAAGCAAGAGGTCGGCCTCTTACTCGAACTACGCCATACTCCTACAGATCTGCTGAGAAGTGAATGTCCTGCGAATGTGTCCTTCTGAGGTACGATGGTGTACTTAAGAATTCGGACTGTCGAGTCTTTCCAATGTACGCACTCTCATTCTCTATCATTCTACTACAAGCATTGCCATAACATCAATCGACATCGCAACATGTTCTTTCAGCTATTGATCGTCACAGCAATGGTGGGCAGAGGTCTTTCTGCAGCCCTGTCATTGTCTAGGGTTATCCCACGGGATACTTTCCGAGTGGACCGGTATGCACATCTCGGAGATTCATTCGCGGCGGGACCAGGAGCTGGTAAGAAGTACTTCGATGACATCTGTCATCGATCTCACCAATCCTGGGGAATACGAGTAGCCGAGGACGTACGACTGAGAGGCGAAAGAGATCATATCGACATATTCCAATTCGAGGCCTGTTCCGGCGCTGTGACGAGAAACATCTACGAAGAAGGGCAGCTCCTCAAAAGAGATGGACCTGATTCATTCCCGCCCAAACCTCATCCGCAAGCACAAGTGCTAGCAGCATCACAACCGAATCTTGTAACCATGTCGATTGGTGGCAACGATGTTGGTTTTAGCGACTTGCTTGATCGTGTGAGTGAAAATTGGAATTACTTTGTCGTATAGATCACTCGCTGACACAGACAGTGCATCTATGGATTTCACACCGCTGGTTGTCAGGGGTGTCGTGGTGGTGATCTTGACTGTTCGATTGACTGCGACGAAGCCATGAGTCAACTTGGTTCCAACATCGACCGGGGTGCCTTCGCAGACAGATACAAGCTGACGATAAATGCCATTTTCCAGAACGCCCCAAACACCAATCTGTTCATAACAGGATATCCTCGGTTCTTCAATGAGCTCACTGATCAATGCGACACCACGAGCTTCAAGTTATTCTGCAACCTTAACGGCGTACTCCCACTGACCAAAGACCGCCGTAGAAAGATGAACGAGCTCACAATCAGACTCAACAACAAGATCAAGGCTTTCGTTAACGACAACGCCCCGCAGTCCGGCTCAATCACTTTCGTAGATACAGACCCGTATTTCGAAGGCCATCGCTTCTGCGAGGAAGGCGTTGTTGAACCAAGTTACCGGAACAAGAATATATGGTTTTTTCCACTGGAATTTACTGCACCCGAGGGAGCCACCTTCAATGTTAGCGATAGTACACCTTCTGGAAATTGCCAAGCTAGCTTGGATGCAAGCGGGGATGCTGGACAGTACTACACATGCCTGATCGCAAACTCTATACCCCAAGGAACAACTATCGATTTGCATGAGCAGCCTAACAGCGTCGCAACCAATGACGAAGACGAACCGGATGTCTTGGACTACCCAGTATGGCTCCTGCGAACATTTCATCCAACGATACAAGGTCACGAGGCATATCGAGAAGCGTTCTTCGCTGCGTACTTGGCGCTCAACAGTCCCGCATTTACATCCGAGCTTTCTTGCAATGACCCAGAGAACAAGTACGTTGCGAAAGACGCGCTCCTCGATCTTATCGACAACACCTACTGTCCCAAGCTGGAAGGCGCTACTGGCTCTATCGGTACAGGGCATTATTTCCCAAGCAGCCCCGAGGCAGTCGAAATCGGCGTCACCAGCAGACTCACCGCCGGGCCTGTACCTACCGTGGAGGAATGTAAGACAAATCTTCACAAGATCTTAGACGAGTGCAACAACGACCGATGGAAAAACCCAGTGGGCTGGCAAGCTGGTGGAGAGTTCGAGATCAACGGCTGGAGATTCACCATCACACCCACGGGCCAGCGGCCTTCCACACCGAAAGCATGGTGTAAGATCGAGAACTGCCAAAACGGAGAGAAGTGCACCGCATCTATCTGGGGTGCGGGATGGCTCAGGAACGACTATGGCGAAAAGCTGCGCAGCGCCTTCGCAGCCCAACAAGCCGTATACAGCGAATTGAGATACGAAAATTCATTGGGCGACAGCAAAGGCATCGATATGAGTCACTGGAATTTCAAGTACGAAGCTTTGGATGAGCACGAGTGGCATGCGAGTCTCTTCTTGGATCTAGGTCTTCGCTTGCCATACAAGAAAACCGTTACGGATGCTTTGCATTCTGCCGCTGGTGACGGTCTTGAGATCGGGAATGGCGGCGAATGCGAGTCAGAGGTTAACTACTAAGTGGATGCTTGCTCTTGAGGGGTTTCTTTGCGCATACAGTATTCTTCTGTCGCTTCCAACGTCATATTTCCTTGGTTACTGGGTCCACGTCACGTGTTTCTCCGGTCGCAGGCGGCCGATGTCTTCACTGAACGCTCCACGAGGCTACGCGCTCACTTCGTGTTTCTTTCATTTCCAAGATTTGACGATGTAACATTTCCATATCTCAGTATTACAAGATATCATCACAACTTGCTCGGTCGATCACTCCGTCCCGTGACTGCAGTATCCTGCCACACCTCCGCATGTTCGAGATCGCCGAAAAGGCTCAACAAGAGCGCCTTCATCTCATCCTTGACACTGCAGGGGCTCAGTAAAGCTTTTCTCAACTGTATGGAAAGTTCTTACAATTCGCGGTACTTGAGCTCACCCGAATATAGTGCCGACGAGCAGAGGTTGAACCTTCTATGGAGAAGTCAGCTGAGCTCGACTGAACATGGTATGCTGCTTCAGTGAGACTTACATGCAATACAAAGCGTTCCTGTCTTCGAAGTCTTCTTTGGGTTCTGAAGCCGGGTAGTGCTTGAGATATTCGGCTATATGGACTCCACTGATCTTGTGGCGCTTGAGTCGCCATGGAGCTAGCTCGTCTAATATGCCGTCACCACAGTCAGTGTCTGCCAAATCGAAAACTCATGATACTTACACTCGTGATGCGCAAACGAAGAGCACGCATCAAAGATCACCGGCTTCCCGGTATTTCTGTCAACTCCGGTATTGCCATCCCAAAGATCTCCATGCACCAAGCATGCTGAAATACTCCTTCCTTTGGTCTCTAGAGGCCTCAGCAACCGCGGTATTGCTTTGTTCACGATCAATGTGCGCAGCTGTACCATGTCTTCGTCATGGCCATGCTGTAATTCTTCGAGGTCGAACATCCGCTGTATGCCACGTGTAAAGCTCTCTTCCCAAGTATCGCAAAAAGTGGTGTCTTGAGGAAGTCTACCCCCGTATGTCGTGACGGGAAAGCCAAATCTTCCTGTTGGGGAAAGCACGGTTTTGTGCAGGCGGGCGATCTGGCCAGTGAAGTCGCTAATGCGTTGAAGCTCTTTACTTGATCTACTGTGAGATTCTTCACTGCGATCGACTGCGGTGGATGCCTCGCCAGGTACTTCTCCAGTCATCTCGCGGAATGCGCATATGAAGAAGTAAGTGTTAGCATCTTTTGCGTAGGTACCCCAACCGATTGGCTGCGGGACGAGATCTGGCATGTTTTCGTAAAGAGCTGAC